AATTGTTTTCATTTTCGAAGGCTAAAAGTTTCTGTATTGTTTGGTGATTGGTGTTGAATGTCGAATTCACACCTCTGTTCTTTTTTTACCTCCATGCTTGCATTTATGAAATAAGAATCCGGGCTTGGTCAATGTGTTTCCAACGAAATAAAGTTTTAATATGATGTTATAATTATGACAATCATGCCATGGATCACGCTAACTCGAATCCACTCTGAATTTATCTGTATGTGTGTCGACCTTTTATAGTGATCACTATAGTCTAATATTTAGAATGTCAAAATATGTTCTCTTTTATTTTAATTTTGAAAGTTTTACCCAGACGATCGATGAAATAAAACAGTGTAGTGACGTGCCTAGTAACCTGCTAAATAACGAAATAATTCCGACGTCAAATTCTATTTTGTCCAGCGACAGTGTACAAACGTGTGCCGCTGACGATCACGGTGACCACCTACACCAGAAAGGACATATTTCGCATCTAACTCAACCCCATGCAACAAAAAATGATACTATGTGTTCATTATGGTCCATTCCTCCTCGACGAACATGTACATAAGTGACGAGAAAACTGCAGAAGAAATTTGCCTTATTTACATGTGTCGGCAATGCAAGCTGCCATGCGACTTCCCCTTCTGACGTCACAAGGGGAATTTCTGTATGCAAATAAGAAGCTAATGAGGAGCCTTGTTTTAAAATACACAAAAATAAAGTTGCTGTAGATTGAGTTTAAAACACATTTTTTCACTTAAAAAAATAATTCATGCTTATAAATTAATAAAATTAATAATATTTATGTATCAATGGATAATTTTAGGCGTGAAAATAGCAGCCATTTCACAGGCACTTTAGGGCTAATCACATAAAATGTGAAATCTGAGGCTCAAGTAGTTGTCATTTTATTGAAATCAGTCACACTATTATGGGAAATCACATATAAATTCATTGATGGGAAGTCGTCAAGATGGCAACGTATTTGACATTTTGTCAAGGGCTCCAGGTAAGTTGTCATCGCTTGATAAAACTGAATTTCAATAGATGGCACCCTGTAGTAACCTGGAAGCAAACCCAACTTTTTTCACTTGTAAGTGATTTAATGTACAACGTCGGTATACAGCGTATATGCTATGATTTCAGTGTTCACATTTCGGCAATGGCCATTAAAAATTGACACTAATGACACAAGAAATGTTTTATAATAAAAATTAGAGAAAACAGAATAGTGAACTACATATTGACAAACAGAGAATAAAAAAAAAAAATTCATAGAGTCTACAGAAAGGTAAGGAACTAGAAATAAAATACAACTATCTTGCATGTGTGAATGTACAAATGATGTACAAATGTTGTACACTCTGCTGTAACCTAGCCAGTAACACACGTATAGTATAACTGCCTGAAATCAAATAAACTCAACCAACTAACTGTACAATACATGTCCTAATAATTACATACCTTTGTAACAGAAGATTTGGTAGGTCCACCTGGTTTTTGTGTTTTTTCAACAATTGTCTTTTTGGATGGTTCTGCTGTTACATCTATTACAGGGTATGGTTCATAACCTGAAATAGAAAGAGAGAATTTCACCATGCATCACTTGAATCAAATCATTAAGAATTTACATTCGTTCAAATTACATTACATTTCCGGCAGACTTGACTCAAGTGTCACATTTCCACCATGTATTTTCACTTGAAAAAATATTGGTTTAAAAACAGAATGAAAATATTTTTGTTGCTTAAAAATAAGGAATGTTAACACACACACATGTGTAGTTTAGTCTGATTTCTTATTTGGACGAAAATAAACAGGGTTACCAAAATACCAATCACTGTTGGGGAGACGCTGTGGGCGACTATCAACACAAATTATATGTAGCCCAGATGATCAGAGTCTGCATACATTTATAACAGAAACCAACTCCAATAGTGAATAAATCAGCTATCAGGCAGACTACTTGCTATAACAGTGGAATGTCTTGTTCAAATTCTATGAGTATATTCTACTACATCATTTACAATGCTTGACCCTATACTCTATCTGAATAAAAGTAACCTTCACACTCCAATACAGGGCTTATTTTATTTACCTTGAAGATATTAAACATAATAGAATTTCCATAAATTAGCCTAATCCGAAACAAGTCAGGGTCAGTGAGGACAAGAGACACAAAGACACCTTTAGTAGTAGCACCAGTCACAACCATTCACATTCCACACTAGTTATGACTAAAATATTAGCAAACATACACATACATATAACAATATTGAGAGTGATACGAACAATAATACTGGTGCTCATATCAAATATAAAAAATAAAATGTTATCATATACACAGATGTGAGCATAAAGACTTAGATATCATCCCACAAGGATGGCAAAACAGGAACAAAACCTAGCTTATCAAAAAATTGCATCTCCAGTTCCCAATACCCACAGAGATGAGGACAAATATCACTGACTTAGGCACTCAATATGTATTTTAGGTTATGTAAAACCTAATGCCACTTCAACAACACAATGCAAAAGTTTTGGCTTGGACAGAATTTACTTTAGAATGAAATTTTGTTGTAAAATTTGTTCCGTACAAAAGCTATGATGTTGGCTTAATGGGTCTTTGTAAGGGTGAATGTTTGTACATATATTTCATTAAATCAAGACATTAATTAATTATTCATATCAGCATAGACTATTGAATGCCACTCTGACAGCCAACATACATGTATCATTGGACAGCCACATGACAGCATTGGATATATTCACAAGCTTTGACTACCATACTTTATATTACAACTGTTGAAAGAATTAAATTTGTTGTCAATGTAACCTTTTCACCACCACTTCCCTCTTTTCAAAGATTCACAAAATAGTCCGCTGTATCATCTGTACTTTCCTTCAGAAGATTAGGAATAAAATAGCCAATTTTTTTGAGTAAACACTGATTCAAAATTTGTATGTTGGCTCCAATATTAGGGTTCATTTCCTGAAATGCAAGAAAAAAAGTTAAGACAAATTTGGACAAGAAAGTCTGGTTCTTGCACATTACTGTACTTGTAAAATAAAATCCAATGAATATATACTTTTTTCTATATTTTACATTCAACTCATCAAAAATCAGTGAAAATAGGTTTCCTACAAAACACTCAAAATGTCACACTCAATAATTTTACTTCCATAATAATTTCAGACCTGTAGAGAAATCAAACTCTGGAGTACCTGCTTTTAATTAATTCATACAATACATGTGTTAACAAAATACCTAATCTCTTATATTTCCTCAGTGTATACATCTGTAACAGTAATTGTCTGAACCAAACTAACCACTTCTATCTCTATTACATACCTACACTTTTAAAAAAACTCAATTTACGGTTTGGAATAGGAATACATATATCTAAGTATTTTGTAATGCAGCAAAGCATGTACTGACTGTTGGCAACCAGGTAGTTTGCATGCAGTGAGGCGTGCACTGACTGGTGCCAATTGTATAGACTAATGCTACATGTAATGTCTTGTCTGCATTTTGTTAATCACTGATGTATGTAATTGTTTTGGGAGTAATATTCATGTATATCAGCTGATATATATTCATGTATATATAAAGTAATAACCTGATATGACTTGTTTATAGAGTCGGTTGACGCAAGTAATGTAATGGGTTTTCAATAAACTAAAGGCAAATGGTAATATAGCGCTAGACACCACAAGAATCAAATAGTTTTACGAATAAGTGGTATCAGGTGAGAACTTTTCTATCACATGATCAACTCAGAGAGACAAAAAGACATAAAAAACATATTTTTTTACAAAATATGCTTACAATTCAAATTTATACTAGTAATGCTGCATAGTTTATATATATATAGTGTCTGATATCCATCAATTCGGCTCCAATAAATCTTCAGGGTTCAGCTCTGATAGGATTGGGCCCTGACATGGCTCTGACTGTGTAAACGCATTGCAGCCCAACAATCAGGGTTGAAATCCCCCCCCCCCCCGAAATTTTCTCCAAGTAAGCTCTCGTTTCAATTATGGCATCATTTGTAATTTCTGGCTTGACGCAATTTGAATTTCGATTTTGTTTTTCTATTATTGAGCTGCATCATAAATCCCTTGATGTCATGTAGGCATTCCTCAATATCAGCCAATATCATTCAAGTTAATGTTAAAAACAGTACCGTGGCAAGGTTTGCTCATCAATGTTCTCTTCGCACAAAGGGGAAACCACTCATATTGAGGCTGTAATATTGTCAACTACGGCTTTGAATCTTCCCTCTACAATAACCTACTCTCCCCATATTCAAATTATTCAATCCCATAGGGGAAATCTTAGTCTTCAGAAAGCATATCAATCTTTGATTATTCACAGAAACCCTAGGTTGATTTATTTAGCTCAGTATCTCATGAACTTGGTTAGAAACACTTTGAAATGAATTGATTTAATGCCTGAGGAACAGTATCTTAATTCAGCTGAAATGCCCATAACCAGAATGTCAGGAAACTGGAATTAGCAAGATGTCTTGCAGTATATGGATATATCATACCCTGCCCCAATTACACTTGTCATTTATTATATACAAGTATGAGGGCCTTCAGTATACATGGATTGATATCACCTTTACATAAACTCAAATTGATTTACTTGTCTTAATATATATGTATATACTATGCATGTCTATAGGATAGTTACATACTTATTATTTTAATTCACTTTTATTCCTGCTATCAATTGAAGATTCATTATTTCACATTATACTACACACAACATAACAAACACATTTATCTATCACACTCAACTGTGACAAATCTCAAACTTTTTAGATTATACATGTACCAGCAGTTTAATTGTCTGAATAAATCATTGTGATTGGACAAAAGCTTGTTTGTAATAACGCAAGCTATGCTTGGATAGACAATATTTATTAATGTTTAGAAGTAGGCCCCTAAATGTTTATTAAAACACCGTGCACTGCCTATTATTGAAACGCTGCGTGAATGTGAAACTATGATGTCATCATAAAAACCGCTAATTCTGACAGTTATGATTTATAACACATAGCGCATTGTTTATCATTCTTTAAATAACACACAAAATGGCTAAATTCTGGTGCAGAATCATCAAAAAATATTATTTTGCTCTATGTGTAACGGTTATTCATCAAATATTATGACTTACATTCCATGAATGAATCAATACAAAAAAACAAAAAACAAAAACACTTTTTTTTCACACAATAAATCAAATTATGATTATATTTTTATTGGAAAGTTGATGCGCTTTTTAAGTGATGCTAAGATTTAAAGTGACTATTCAAAACATGTAACCGATTGACATTGTGGTTTTTATATGTGATAGTGTTTTTACTACCGTATTACAAAATGTACATGTATGCATTCATTTCTCATTATGGTAATTCTCCAATTGTTTCAAACTGAATTCCCAACATCTTTCCAACAATTTTTTTACCACATGTGACGCTAAACTATCACTAGAGGGCAGTGTACCTCTTATCATTGCTATCAGGTTAAGGCAGAACACAGGGTTTAAAGCGGGAGGGTTGTCACCTGCGCACGCACAGGAATTGTGTTCCAAGCGACGATAACACGTGCTAAAAACACAAAGGCTCGTGGGTAGACGCTTGTTTGTAAACAATGACACACTTGTCATCGGACGCATGCGCAGGTGACAACTTCCTCGCTTTAAAATAGAACATTAACTAAATTAACATAAGAGATGCAGACAGAATAATTCAAGTTATCAGTATGACCTTATGCAACCTTTATAAATTAGGTTTCGTGAGAAGATAGGATGTCAAAAGGTCAGTGTGTTAATTATCTTGACCTATTGGTTATGATAATTACGATAAAACCATGCATTATTGATACTGACATGGTATGAGAAGTGAATGCTTAATTGTAGAGACCTGCTCAATGTGTTTTGCTAACTACTTCATCTAGGTAAACATGATATAGTACCAGTATTTCCTGGTGCAATGAGCTCCAATAAATTAATTTAACTTAAATACACGTGTAGTAGAACAGAAAACCTAGCTATATTGACATCAACTATAATAAATGTTTTCCCGTTTCCCACTGAAAAACATGTTTTTCACAGATTCCTGATTTAGATGCGTGCAAAAGAACTTTACTGTTGCATAACAAGTTATCACCCTCTCTTTGGAAAAATATCCTTATACATAATGTAGCATACTAATTACAGGTATACACTAGTCGAAACTCACTTATTTCATGGAAAGAAAAAAACAATAGCTTTTTCAAGAGTGTGAATTAACAGCATCCTTCCATATTCACACCACTGAAGCAATATATAACACTGATCTTATGAAACATGTAGAAAACCATGGATCTTAAGGTCTAGCATAAAACTAACCTGGAACTGAACAGAGATATAGGAGACCAATTATGACAAAACCGGTTCTGTTTGTTGTCTATATACCCAGTGACTTAAAAAAACAGTCAGAAAATAATAGGACACACTTTCCCATCATTCAATCATATACAGTTCAATGTAAAGGTCATTGTATTACATCTTAAATCAAAGCACAGCATCATGGGATATGGTAAATTCTCACCAGGGAGTCGGGTCC